TGTGTCTTTTTTTTTTTTTTTTTTTTTTTTTTTTTTTGAGGCTCAATTATGTTGGTAATTCTGCTGTGTCACCATACTCCAGCAGAGGTGAAATTATCGTACATTAATTAAACACAAGATACAACTGAAAATTTTATTACGAACATGCTTGATGTTCGTTCAAATGCAAGTTATATAAGTTCTTTAAAACTGAAATGGATCTTTTGTTTGTTTTTTGTTTTGTTTTTTTCCCTCGTTTCTACCATGAAAAGCTATTTTATTGAACTTTTTATTTTTATTTTTATTTTTTAATGTTGTATGTCATTTTTCTTATTATTTGTGTTTTATCAGTTTTGGTGCAAATTTCAGGGTCCTACAAAGTTCATTCACAAGCCAAGAAGAAAGTAGAACAATTATCAAGTGACAACTTTCAGATCTTCTTGCACTAAATTGGGAAGCTTATTGAATCTTTGATAAAATATGTAACCAAGACTTTTTAGCAAATTATTAGATTTCAGGAACTCAACCACAAAACAACAGAAGATCATGATAGAACATATGTAGATACTACTAATTTCAGATTCTTATATTTAGATTATAGAACTGCTCAATAGCAATAAGAGATCAAGGTAAGTTATTCAAATTCTCTTTTACTTCCCAAACAATGCAATCATATCAGCTCATGGGTACAAGAAATTTATCAAAAGAAAAATGGGGAACCATTCCACAAAGAATCAACTCTCCTTTAATGATCTAGCCTAATGACACCAATAATCGCTTATAACTCAACCTTAACATCATGAACTCTCATTCCTTCAGGCAAATTATCTAAACTGAAAGTCATCAATCCACATAATGAATCATAGGAGAAATCAACCACTTGAGAATCAACAATGCATCTTCTTGGCTTGGCCGAAGAATATGCTCCAAATTTGCCACACCCTTTCACCTCCAAATGAACTATCCCCACCAGCTCAGAGCTTCGATTCTCTACTTCCCTCTCAACGTTTCCATCCTCTTTGAATCCAATCTCGAGCTCTGACAGCTGAAATCCACTTTTTGCTTCGTAGCTCAGTCGTTCGATGGCTCCGCCTGGGTTGTACATGTTGATGAGTCCTAATGGGGCAAAACTGAATCCCGGAGTCAAGACCTTGACGGGAGTGACGGTGTATATGTCATGCTCTAGAACCTTAAGAGACACTGGCATCATAGCGTTGTAAGGAAGGGTGACAACCTCGCCAGAGTGGAAGCAATACACCGCACATTCACCGTCCCAATCAGAGTCGGTGGCAGCCTCGGCAATGAGGTGGACATCACGGCCTCTGACATAGCTGGTAATGGCCTCTGACGTCATTGGATGGAATGCGTTCTTCCTCTCCATACTACTCCATGCAGCGCCTTGGCAGTTAAAGACTCCCAGTACGCCAGTGTACTTGTTCATGCTCCATATCTTCAACAAGCTGAAAAAGAAGCATACAAAGTGATAGGTAAAAGAACACAAAATGCTATAACGTTTAAAAGCACAACCGATGAGAACATGAAGTTCTTCACTTGGTTTACCTGATTCCATCTCTTGCCGGGTCAGAGAATAAGCAGTCCCGAGTAGGCCGGCCGGGCAAGCGTGTTCTGAGGACAGACCCATCTGGTAAAACAAGCTTCTTTAGGAGCTCAAAGTCGTGCTTCCCAGGCGCATCACTGCAACAAATGGAGAATACCATACAATAAGCCATATTGAAAAGAATTGATGGTATATGTCATAGTAGTTTGTGACAATATATAGATATACATATATATGTGTGTGAGTGTGTGAGTGTGTGTACCTGACATAAATGGGGCCACCGCTTATGGCTCTCGCAGAGGCATGGTATTCTCCGGCGGGATGTTGAGAGTGGAACATGTCCCAATCAGGCTGCATAATCTCCCCCAAAAACACACTGTTATAGGCCACCGCCGCTATGTGAATTGTGTGTGACATTGGGTCACGCGGGAAGAAATCATCCGATGCCCTCACGATTGCTGTCTGCTTTGAACTGTTAAAAGAAAATTCAAATTACCACTTTTTAGTCCCCATAACTCAAAATCTTAAACACATCATCTATGTTTACTTTGTAGTCAAAGATGAAATTTCCTTCTAACAATAGCAACATAACTTTTGACCCATAAATGAAAACAGGTAATGAACAATAAGAGGAATCTTATTTTTAGTATGCAGGTCTTATTTATATGATATGATAAATAAGTAGCGGAGGCACATGATAGGAAAATGGGACAACAGATATGTTCTCTTGGACTTACCAGTAGAGCGCATCGGTGTTGTGGCTCATACAAGCGATGCATCCGTTGTCCGGGAAGTTCCTCGTGACGGAAGCATCCAATGCCTGATGATACTGCCTTGTCAGCTCAACCCGGCCGCCGAACCCTGCGCCGAGTGTCTCCAAGATGCACTGCACATCCACCTTAACTCCATCTACACCAGCAGCCGCCAAGTAACCGTGAAGCTCATTGTAAAACCTGTACACATTCTTGGGATTCACCAGCCCCAATCCCTTCACAGCCATCTTATCTGTCTTCCACACCGGCTCATTCTCGACAACCCCCTTTGACACCACCGGATACTTCATCGCTGAATCGTACTCCTCCATCTCCTTCACCCCGGGACGAACCCCTCCCCAGTACCCAGTTATGGCGTGCCACACATAAACATACTTCAAACCAAGCTTCTCTTTGGCAATTCCAACAATGTTCTTTATCCCCATAGCAGGGTCATCCTTGTTTTGAAACTTGGCATTCTCTTTAATCCCCGTCAAGCGGAGCAACTCATCGTCACTCCTCCCCGCCTCATCGGCTCCAACTGATTGCCATCCGTCGTCGATGATCACGAACTTCGGAGGGGCACCACCCTCTGAAAGAGACTTAATTCCTGCCTCAACTCCCTCTTGCGTCACCTCCTGATAAAAGGCATCCCATGTGCACCACCCAAAGTAGTCCACAATCCCCGGGACCTTCTTCTCATGCCGCAGCCGGAACGTCTTGAGATGCAATTTAACCGCCGTGATCGCTTCCGTGATCGCCAAGAACGGGTCGGCGCCGGAGTGGATGAACAGGGAATGATTAAACGACGACGCTTTAGTATCCGAGTCTCCACTTTCTAGACAGAGCTCCAACTCGTCGTTGTCGTTTCCCTGCAGGCAAGCACGGAAGGAGCCTTCGATCAGCGGAAGGAACACGGTGTAGACGATCTTGTTGTCGTCGTCTCCAGTGCCGTCCGGTTCGAGGTGGGACCCGTCTTTGGTTTCGATCAATAGGAATTGAGTCTCGAGAGGAATTTCACTCCCTTTGTCTCCCATCTTCTGCGCCATCCACCAGAGCTTGAACCTAAAGCACGCCATGAACCGGACGTCACGGAGCGTCCCAAGGCTGATGACGTGGCGGCTTTTGTCTTCTCCGAAAAAGGCGCCGAGGAAAACGCCCTCCGCCGGACCGGAATCCGAACCGGACGTGGATATCACATTCTCCGGTACTCCGGTTAGGATCGTACGGTCCTTTACGATTAGCTTCCGGTTGGCGATCCGTACCGCCGGTTTAATCGTCATTTCTCCTTCTTCTTCTTCTTCTTCTTCCTTGTATAGATGTTCGCTATTCGAAGCACTTTGCTCGGTTTCCTGCCATTCAAACAAATAAAAATGCTGATTTCGTGAAAATCTATTAAAAATCGATGGATTTTTTGGAACCATGCAAGTAAAATTCGTCATATATGATATATATTATATGTATAATGTATCTTGTATTATATATACCTGAAAAGCTAACGCACGCAATGCCTGTCCCGATTTGAATCTGCGAGTTCCGAAACATGCAAGGAGAAAATTGTAACCTCGTTAGCAAAGAAAATTAAATTCTTTTTCCTCGGTTTTCTCGGGATACAAACAGAAGTGCATTCCTAGCTACTTAACGCATTTCTCCAAATATTCTAAATGCTAAAGATTGAAACTTTCCTAGAATTTCTCAGGAAACAAATAGATCGAAGAAGAGTAATGGAAATGAAAGGAAAAAAATTAGGGAAAAAGGAATTGTACCAAAAGAACAGAGACTCTTGTTGGGTAGCTTCAACAAACGATTATTCAAAGGTGAAGAGATTGGATATTTGAATGTGGAAAAGCGAACAAGAGGATTCGTATTTATAGCTCGAACCAAAGAACTGTAACACGAATTTGACACCATTTTTTTTTTTTTTGAAAACAAATAATTATTTGCAAACTACAAAGCCAATTGGGAAGAAGAAGCTGTTTTTAACTGATTTAATAATTGATCGGACAGCGTTAAGAAATCCTTGTGGACTAAGCCGTTATATTTGACGGCGGAACTGACAGCCACGAAGGATCCACGTTGTGCCAATCCATAACCTCCTCGGTTTTGGATTACGAGACGGCAGTTTGAGTTTGACAGCTTCTGTGTTTGGGGTAATTTGACCAATGAATGAATGTGATGTTCATTTTACTATTTGACTGAGTTTAGAATTTAAGTTTTATTATACAGTTATATTTAATTTTTTTATTTAATTTTTTTATTATAGTAAAAAATTTTTACAGATGAATGAATGTGATGTTCATTTTACTATTTGACTGAGTTTAGAATTTAAGTTTTATTATACAGTCATATTTAATTTTTTTATTTAATTTTTTTATTATAGTAAAAAATTTTTACATAAAATTATATTTTAATTTAAATTAAAAATTTAAATTAATAAATTAAACGAACTCAAAATTTATATTCACTTATCTTAACTTTTAAAATATTACACAGTTAATTTTTAAAATTTTATTCTATTTAATTTCAATCATTTCGTTAATTAAACGTTAATTATTTAATATAATCAATATAAATTAGAAATAAAAATTAAAAACAGTTAAAATTTAAAAATTATTTATAAAAATTAATATTTTTTTGTATTATTTATAAACTTTAAATATTTTCAATTTTAATCTTAATTTTTACAGATTCGGTCATAAGTTATTTGTGAGGTTAACCTTTTCTATTTTGGTCACGGGAGTTTTAAGCGTGAAGACGTGAACAAATTGGTGAGCTAATTGAGTGAAGGTGTTGGTTAGCTTGTAATTGTACGGGTGATGCATAACACTTTTGGGGAGGGTTTGAAATGAATTATTGATTGGGATGATTGAGTAATCATTTTTGCTTATCTGTGTCCACGTACTCAGGCTTTGTCGTTTATCTACTAGAACAAGAAAAAGAGTTTTTGCTGAATAGAACAAGTAAAAGTTGCTTGAGTACCGATTGGTTCGAGGATTTATTTTTTTATTCGAATCATGGTTTATGGTTTGTTATGATATTTTTTTTCATAAAAAATATATATAAATTAAAAATAGTTCGAATCTCATAATTCTAATACAATTATACAAAGTCAGCCTCATATATTTTGTGTTGTGGACTTATTTTTTCTTTTTTTTTGGAAAATATTTTGTGTCGTGGACTTACTATTTACGAGTGCCCTTTAACATTAATCTAAAACAATCATATGATAAGGGTTTTTACTGCTACTTTAAGTTTTTAACTATTACATTCAGTTAAAATCACATCAAAATATATAATATGTAGAATAATTTTTAATACAAATTAGAAAACTTAAAATAGAGATCTATTAGTAATTTCTGTACTCATTATTGGGATATCTTTTAGTTAACAGTTCCATTGATATTATGCTTTTCTAGATGTTAAATTTAATTAGAATTGTTGTGTGGGAAAATGTGACGGACACCTGGACGAATGATAAAGTGACACGTGGCCTTAACTACTCCCCACCAAGCAACAACCCTCGACGTCTACAGATCTAAACCCTCGACGTCTACAGATTTAAAGAGCCCAAGCACAAAGTCCAACGTAGGGCGACGACTCCTCCTGGCGTCGACAGATCGTGCCGTCGAGCTTGAGGCACAGAGATCCCTCGACCGCAGAATCAACCACCAAGAAGGACGTTTGGGCTAAGCGTCGTTGGCGACGAGGGGAACGTTCTCTGGAGGACGTGGCAAGTTGCGTACAAAAGTGGGGGACGTCTGCAGGCATTAATTGCGAGCTCTTAAACCGCCTCACAGGGGACAGGAGAGTGTTACAGGGACGCACAGAGCCGTAATAGAAGACTAATTGGCTGAGTGAACAGTGTTGATTAGTGGGCTACGTCTGGGCCTAAAAAGGGAGAGCACTTGAGTGTTTCTGCCACGAGGGAAACCCACTCAGCGAAGGAAGCCCAGTATAAAAGAAGGGAGACCCCCTATGAGGAGGGGGTTGAGATCCAAGAAGAGAAAAAAGAGAGTGAGAGATAGCAATTGATGTAAATTGTAATCCTCCCAAAAAGAAATATACAACCACAGTGGATGTAGCTCTAATTTTACAGAGTGAACCACTATAAAATTTCTTGTCTTCTTTATTTGTGCACATCTCAAACTATACACACCATACACCCTGAACAATAAATTTTCATACATATTCAACACATAAGCCGATAATCTAAAGGGAAACCAAGAGATAACCCGACCGGTTTTTGTTGACGAGAAATCACCGTCAACAAGAATCAAATAGAAGCTTTGAGAAGTTTATTTATCAATTTTTATCGTGCAAAAAGAATTTATCTCTAGCCCAAGTATAAGAAACTAAAAACCACTTCACCTCGTCTAAGGTCAAACCACGTAACTCCAACTGCGTCTGAGCTCATCCAATGACTGTCGTTTCTTCTTTTAATTGAATTCCCAGTTATTTATCTTGTAAACTGTAATCAATCGCTAAGAATGTATTTATTTAATAATTCGTTGAGTTTGAAAATATATCTTGAGAAGCAAAATCAAGTGGCAAAAATATCTCTCCATTTCAGCAGGTAATTATTGGGATGTGCCCCACAAGAATGAGGGTTTATTCAGTTGTATTTTTGAGTTATAGTAACTTGAATATAGATTTTGAGTCGAATTTGAGTTATAACTTAAGTTGAAGTTGTAATTTGAGTTTGTGTTTGGTTATGTACATTTGAGTTATGGTTTGATATGAGAATCTTTTTAAGTTTGTGTTTGGGTGGGTCAAAACTTGAGTTTATATTTATATAGTATTTTTAAAAAAAAAACTCAATAATGATGGAAAATTTTAATAGGGTATATGGTGAGGTTTATTCGTCTCTTCGTTGTGAATGCATAAAAAAAAATCATCTCAATCAGAATTAAAACGAAAAAGTTATAGCGTTTTTAAGAATAGAAAAAAATATTGTTCATTAACATGAGTTTGAGTTTAGAAACTTGAGTTGAAGGGGAAACTTAAACTCAGATTTTAACTTCAAACTCAAGTTAAAATTCAAGTTACAACTCAAGTTTAAACTCAAATTTTACAAAAAAAAAAAAAAAAAAAAAACTTAAATACAATTGTAACTTGAGTTCAAATTTTTTTAAAATTTTAATACAAACGAATAAGCCCTCAATCATTACAAATTTTGAATGGCCCTACAAAACCAATAATTTCACTTAATTTCTTTTTTTTTTTTTTCTAAATTACTTTCTCCTAATTTCTCAAGATAATAAACAATACTTCAAGACGAAATATAATTTGAAGTATTTAAATTTTTGTTTAATTTTTAGTATCTTAATAAATGTCTAGTTAATTGGATTATGACATGTCTCAATAGATTTAAGTATAAAAAAAAGTTAGTTAAAAGATATTTCAAAAAATTTTAACATGAAAGGCAATATCATATTGATTTCTTTTCTGATCAACGTATCATATTTGATGTTTAACGGATTGTTCTTGGACGTGTTTTAGATTTATTGGGACTTGGGGCAATGCAATTTGCTCTGAACGATGACGGAAGAGATAACATTGTTTTTGTTTCCTAGGGTTGCGAGATTTTAATGTTTAATATTTAATTTTTTTTCCTTAAATAATGGGATTTTCTTACTGTGCATTCTTTAAAATAACCAAGGATGAAAATATAAGCATTTTTACTGATATATTTGTAAAAGGATTAATTTTAAAAATTCTCTTTAAATTATTTTCCTTTTAACACTTTACTCCTTTAACTTTAAAATGTAACATTTGTTCTCCCTAAACTTTGTTCCGTTAATAAGTTTTCTCATTCTCTTATAATAAGTGATAGAATTATCACGTGTCACTTATTTAGTGAGAATTAAAAACGCAATTACACTTATACCCTCTTAATCAAATAATTCTCTATTTTATTAAAAAAATTCACCATCTTCGCTCCCTATTTTTCTTTTTTTTTCCCCTCATTTTGTTCCCCATCTTCGTAGAATCATAACTCTACACAAAAACTTCACCTCCACCATCACCACCACCACCTAGTTCTACTCTACCAGTGAGTACTCCGCCAGTGAGTTCACCTACACCGCCTTCATCCAACCCACCTACGAATTCCCCACCTCCACCATCGCCAAAACCACCCGAAAATTCACCTCCACCACCATCACCAACCGCACCTGAGAGTTCACCCTTGCCACCGGTATCTTCACCACCGCAAAGTTCACCCCTTCCACCCCCACCACCATAATCTGTTCCGCCCACAAGTTATCTTCCACCTTCACCAACATCTATTTCCCTTAAAGAATCACCTCCTCCATTAGCATCAATACCTTCCAGGAATGCACCCCCACCTCCTATGATTACTCCTCTCGCTCCATCAGGTTCTAATGCAACGCCGGAGATTACTCTGCAGCCCATCAAAAGGGTCATGTTAATTTACTAGGTTTTGTTTCTTTAATGCTTGAAAGAGTTGTTGCAGGTTAATTTATAATAATACCCTCTTTAGATGGGTCATGTGCCTGACACATGGCGAATTTCATCACTCATTATAACAGAAAGTGAAAAATTGTTAACGGATTAAAATTCGAGGGGAATAGATGTTACTTTTTAAATTTCGGGGGAGTAAAGTGTTACAATGGTCATAGTTCAGGGAGAATTTTTGACATTAATCCTTTTGCGGAAATTTCTATATTTTGAAAGTAACGATATGAAAATAGGAGTGTAGTATTTTTCAGCAG